CCCCCCCCCCCCGCTTTTTTTGGTACCAGGGATTGAACTCGGGTCTTTGCGCTTGCAAGGCAGGCCACCAAACCGTGGAGCTAAATCCCCAGCCCTGCAGCCCCTTTTTATTTTGAGACTTGTCTGAGTTGCTGAAATGCCTGGGCTGTGATCTGCCTGCTTCAGCCTCCCAGGGTGCTGGGATTACAGGCATGTGTCACCATGCCTGGCTAGTCCAGGTCCTTCTTAAGGATGCAGGATTTGTTGTAAACTTGCATCCTTTCCCTGCTGCGCATTTCCTCTTCCGCTCCTCAGGCATCTAGAATGAGGCCCAGATGGGGACATGGCACTGTGATCCCAAGTCTGGTTCCCATGCACACTGCCTGTCTTCATTGCTCCCCTCCGATACCACCCCTTCTCCAGCCCTTCTCAGCTCAGGCCGTCTTTCCACAGGAAGCTGGTGAGCTGTATAACCGTATGCTAAAGCGCTTCCGGCAGGAGAAAGCTGTCTGGATCAAATATGGGGCCTTTCTTCTCCGGAGGGGCCAGGCTGGCGCCAGTCACCGTGTGCTGCAGCGAGCCCTCGAGTGCCTGCCTGCCAAGGAGCGTGAGTGCTGGGCCCAGCCCAGGATGCACAGGGCTCTGGTGTCCACCTGGGAGTCGGGCTGGTGTTCATCCAGGGCTAGGGCAGGTGTGGTGCTCGTGGGGGCGGTGGTGTGGGTTACCTGCAGATGCTGCAGGAGGAGGAGGAGCGAGACGCAGTCAGCCCCTGCTCTGCTGTCCTGGGACCCTGCCCCTTCCTGTCCAGGGCAGAAGGGTCTGCGTTTGGCTCTAAGTCCAGCCCGCTTTTCCCTTTGAGTTTTGTCCCCTTGTTGGTCCTGACCCAAGAGCAGGAAGTCAGACTCGCTGCCCCGCGTCCCCCGGTGTAGGGCGGGGTCCATGGGCTGCTGTGCTCTGAGCACATCTCCCTGCAGACCTGGACACCATCACCAAGTTCGCCCAGCTGGAGTTCCGGCTGGGAGACGCAGAGCGGGCCAGAGCCATTTTTGAAAACGTGCTGAGCACCTACCCGAAGCGCACCGACATCTGGTCAGTCTACATTGACATGACCATCAAGCACGGCAGCCAGAAGGAAGTCCGGTGAGCAGGGAGGGCAGGCAGATGGGCACCAGAGGCTCCCAGTGCTCTTCTCTGGTCCCACTGGTGGGGTGGCCAGGCCTGGGTCACAGTGACGCCCTGAGTGGGCAGAGCCTTCGTGCCCGATCTCACCTTGTCCCCCAGCATTACTGTATGGCAGGGAGGGCTAGAGGTGGGGCGACTGAGGCCCAGAAAGAGCAAGCCCTGGCCTGGGCCCTTTGAGGTGCTTTTGGGGGTTGGGGTTTGAGCTGGCCTTTGCAATAGGCTAAATCCTTGTCCCTTTAAAAAATTTTTTGTTCTTTTTTTTTTTCCTGAGCAGAGTCTTGCTAAGTCCCTAGGTTCCCCAGGAGAGATTCAGACTTTCCATCCTCATGCCTCATGGGCTACCACAGCCCTTCTACCAGTTTTAAGCTTTGCTTCTTACAGATCCACTCCTCATTGTGAATCCCCATCCCGGTACCTTTGTCCTTATTCACTGGTAACTTTAGGAATGTAAGTCTTTTGGCATCTCTGAGTGTCTGGTGCTCATTTGGAAAATCAGGTGGTGGTGTCCCCCAGGGCCTGACAGGTGTTCACGATGATGAGAAAGGTGGCTGTGGGAGCTGGGCATGGTAGCACAAGCCTATTCCAGCACTCGGGAGGCTGAGGCAGGAGGATTGCCATGAGTGCAAGGCCAGCCTGGACTATACAGCAGAACCCTGTCTCACAAAACAGGTGGACGGGGGCTACTGGGTGATAGTGAGCCCGGGGGCCTGAGAGCAGGTGGTGAGGTAGCCAGGACCGTGGGGCTGGAGCAGGAAGTAGCTGCTTCCCTGCTCTCCTCACAGGGACATCTTTGAGCGGGTCATCCACCTGAGCCTGGCCCCCAAGAAGATGAAGTTCTTCTTCAAGCGCTACCTGGACTATGAGAAGCAGCACGGCACTGAGAAGGATGTGCGGGCGGTGAAGGCGAAGGCCCTGGAGTATGTGGAGGCCAAGAGCTCGGCGCTGGAGGACTAGCGTCTTGGGCTTCCGGAAGATTGCAGCAGGCCGGCCGGGGCTGCTCTGGCGCCCGGCACACAAGGACTATTTAACGTGCTGCTTTTTCTGCAGCACCTCAGGTGATTCTGTGTGGATGAAAAGAATCTGAGGCTGTTTATTTGTACGCTCCTGTTCCGTTTATTTATTTATTGGGAGGGGATGGTGCTGTGGATGGAGCCAAGGCCTTGCCTATGCTGGGCAAGTGCTCTACCATGGAGCTACTCTCCCGCCCTTGGGGTCCAAGTCTTCTGTGCAGTTTGTTTTATAGACTGGGTCATGTCATCTTCCTTTCTGAGGCTGCTCAGTGGTTGCAGGCAGCAGGATCATGGAGTCCCAGGAAAAGCAAGTACTCCTCCCTGAGGGGCAGTCCCTGCTTCTGTGTCCTGCCCCGGCAGGCCCTCAGTCTGGCCAGAAGTGTCTGCAGAGCGAACGTAAGCAGGCAGGCTAGGGTTCCAGGCGTGGCCTCAGCTCAGCTGATATCTTTGACCCTTCTGTGGAGGCCATGGGGCTGCTGAGGAAAGCTACAAGCTTTGGCTTAAACACCTGATGACAGCTGTCCCAGGCCCCCCGAGGCAGTGACCTCTCATCGCCAAGTGGGGTGCGGTTCAGTTCTGGGAGGCCAGCGCACACCCCACTAGCTGTTGAAGCCGGCTCTTTTTTTGGCTTGGTCCTGAGGGAATTGAAAGCTCTCTCTGACTGACCCTTAAATCCCCTGAGAGCATTTCCATGAGGAGTGACAGTTGCATGCCAGGGGGGCAGGGCGAGAGCAAGGGGGGCACCGTAACAACGCGCTGGGCTGCAGGGGCCGGCAGGGTCTCCTGCCCCAGGACATACCTGCTGAGCTGACAAGACCTAGGGTTTCCCTCTGGACACCTGACATTCCCTGCACGCCTGGTCCCTCTCACAGGGCATGGCCATACCCATTCAGTCCGCAGACACCGGGCTCAACTTTTATGGTAAGAGAAGCTTTCTCAGAATTTAAATATGTGAAATCAGGCGGGAGGCAGACGGGGTGGGGCAGCTTTCCGCAGGGCCTAGCCCACACACGCCCCCTGCAGTTAGACACAAGTTAGCTGCACGTGTGCCCTGCTGTCGCCTGGCTCTGCTGGCCTGGGGCTCTCAGCTTGGGATCCCACCAACAGGAGACCCATGGTGCTGTCAGGCAAGGACCAGGTCGGGGAGAGGTCCTCCCCACAGCTGTGAGCCAGGGCGGCCGGGGGCAGCAGGGGTCTTCAGACCTGAGCGTCCTCTGGCAGCTGGGCACATCACACTGGAACTCTGCACCCCGGATTCCTTGGTCTCCCCTCCCCTTGCCCGTTTGCCTGGTGCTGATGGCGAGTGGGGTTCTGCTTGGGACCACTGGCTCCGTGGCAGCACTCAGGAGGGGAGCAGGGCCATCTCCACGCTGTCGGGGGCTCTGCCGTTGCCCGCCAGGCCCTGGGCCCACTTGTGCAGGCGGCTGTAGAGTGGCAGGCCCTGGTTCTCACGGTACAGGTAGACCCCGGTGATGGCGTTCCACTGCGGCCGTGGCTGTGTGCCCTCCACTGGGAACTTGGCCACCAGCTCCTCGTCGTCCTTGTTGAGAGCCACGAAGCCGAAGAAGCGGCGCACGTTGTTGGCGGCCAGCACCCTGGAGTGCACCTCGGCCGTGCGCTGGAAGAGTTGGTCCTCATTGGCACGGTACTGTGCCCAGTAGGCCTCCTGGCGGTAGCTAAGCGGCGAGCAGTAGTGCTTGAGGCACTTGGTCAGGAACACCAGGATGGCCACCACACCGATGAGCAGCCACCCGAAGAGCTGGCAGGGGGACAGCAGGTTCAGGAGGGGCAGAAGCGGCCTGTCTCCCCGCCCCACAGGAGACTCCGTTTGGGAAGGGGATGGGGAGCGAGCCCCGTCCACCGGCCTTTCCTCCCTGTTACCTGCCCTTGCCTTGTCTTTTTTAGAGGGGTGGGGGACAAGGTCTTGCTATGTAGTTCATTCGGGCCTTGAATTCAATCATATGCAGCTCAGGCTGGCCTTGAACTGGTGGTGATCCTCCTGCCTCAGCCTCCCCAGTTCTGGGATTACAGGTGTACGCCACCACGCCCGTCTTGCTCTGTTTTTAGACTGTATTTCCTGCTGCTACCATTCCAGTCCCAGGCTGACCTTCCTCACCTACCTATCAAAGCCCAGCTCAAGGCCTGGAGTGTAGCTTTGGGGAGTTGTGTGTGAGACCTGGGGTCTGATCCCCAGCACCACATACACAAACCAGCCCACACTGCCAGATGGCTCGGGCCACCCCCTGGGAATCTGAGGGCCTCTGGGAACAGCCCCCCATCCCACACCACTGCCACCTGCCTTGTTTTGAGGTCACCCTGTGCTTGTCTCAAATGCCTGGGATTTAGTCTGCTGAGGGCAGGACCGCAAAAACCCATTTGCTTTGTGTGGAGGGAGTGCTCTGGGCACCTGGTCGGCACCAGGTAACACACTGTGTTACCACCTGTGGTCTCTGGTGCTGTTGCCAGCTGTTTCTCTCTCTGCCTGGGTCTCACCCTTCCTGTCTCCTCACCTCTGAGGCTGCTAAGTTCACCCCTCAGCTCAGGTTTGCTGCCTTTGCCCATCTCTGGGCCGTGCCCTCCACGCCAGATGCAGCAGAGGCTGCCCGCCTACCCCACCCACCTCCCTGGGACTCAGAGAGCACTTGAGCTGACTGGCTGGGTCTGGCTGCTCAGGCACACATCCCACCAACCCTGTGTTTCTGCGGTGGCTTGCAGGACCTGTGTGTGACTGGGATCAGGTCAGAAGCTCCTCTCCTGTTAAAAACCAAGAGCTGGTGCCAGGCGTGGTGGCGCATGCCTGTAATCCCAGCACTTGGGAGGCTGAGGCAGGAGGATCACTGTGAGTTCAAGACCAGCCTGGGCTACATAGTGAGTTCCAGGTCAGTCTCAACTCCATAGTGAGACCCTGTCTCAAAAAACAAAATAAATAAATAAAAACTGAGGGCCAAGGCTAGCGTTCAGGGCAGTTGTGTGCTCAAAACAGCCAAGGCCCAGAGCTCATCCCCAGCCCCAAACTCACTGAGGACTAGATGGACCCTTGCCTACCAAGCACCACTCAGGCTGGCCAGCTCTGATGCCTGACAGTCTGGGCACTAGACATTCCCAGAAACCCAATGCCTCTGCACCAGCCACACCAGGCAGGAAAGGCATCCCCCAGCCTAGACGCTTACCTGGGACTCGTACTTGAGCCTGCGGCTGACCTCCTCCCGGAAGACTGACAGGCTGGTAGGGCCCTCCCCACAGGGGAACCTGGCCAGGATCTCGGTGGCATGTGCCGGTGGGAAGCCCTCCTCCCCAGCTGTGAGGGACGAGGGGTCCACGAACTCACTTAGGGCACAGACGTAGGCCTCCCCGCGCAGCAGGGAGATGACAGACCAGGTGACGGGGGCCACAGCCGCGCGGCCCAGGATGGAGCTCAGGAGCAGGAAGTTGGGAGCAGCTGAGCAGTTCTTGGTCCTCCGATACTGGCACTCAGTGACCAGATTCCAGGTGTGATTATTGAGCACGATGCCAATGAGAAAGAGCGCCAGGGCGGGCACTCCGATGGCTGTCAGCCCGTACAGGTAGTTCCGGGCCGGGGAGCAGGGGCAGTGGAAAGCCACCACTGAGAAGAGCTCCTGGCTGCCCACTGTACCCAGTGCCACCAACCCATTGAAGATCATCACATCCTTGCTCTTGAAGAAGAGTGACAGGAAGCGGAAGTTCTCTGCGATCAGGGCAGCCATGGTGATGGGTGGGCTGGGGCAGAATACAGCGGAGAAGGCAGAAGCGGTGGGGTCAGTGGGTCCTGACGGATTAGAAGGGCCACGCACAGGCTGAGCAACGTCGTTCCATTTTATCACCAGTGCTGACCTGGTGCGTCCTGCGGAACACAGACAATAAGCATCTGAGCGCCGAGGCTCAGCAGGAGGCTGGGCCTGGGAAGCCATGGTAGCCACTGTCACTTGAGGGCTCCATCCCGAAGCTGTTCCACCCAATGTGCCCAGGGAGGGGAAGCCTGCAGGGGGGTTGCCACCAGCAGGGTCACAAGTAACAGCGGACTGAGACGCAGGCTTTTCTGCCTCAAAGACTTCAGGTGTTTCCTGCCTCTTCTCTCGGGGCAGCAGGGAGGGTGGTGCTGACACTGAAAGGCCTGGGACCATCTGGGGCTTCGTCATGGCTCTCGTCAGAGCCAGACTGGCTGTCCTGGTGTGTGAGGGACAAACTTGGGTCCCGGGTGGGGATGAAGGGGGCTTCCAGTCAGTGCGGAGCTTGGAGGCCTAGGGAAGTAGATAAAAGTTCTGGTCCTTGCTGTCTTCCTAGGGGTGATAAATGCTGCCTAGTGACTGTCCCACATGTGAGGGAGGGCCTGCATTTCTCTTCCCCTCAGGTCTCCAGAGTGTGGAGACAAGGTCTGAAGGGGGTGAAGTGCTTTGCTCAAAGCCATACAAATGTAGAGGCCCCTGCCAGGACTCACAACCAAGACCTAAGGAGACTCAGGGAGGGGCCGATGTGGATTGAACTAAGTTGGCTCCATCTTCTCAGTCGGCTACTCCCGTTCCCTCAGGACCCTGTCCTACCCAGCTGCTCCCAGGATCCTCCGCCCACCCCTTGGAGCTGCAGGCCTGGGAACTGTCCCACACCCCAGCTCCGCTTGCTCGCTCGCTAACAACAGGAAGCCCTAAGAAGACTGGGCCCGCCCGCCCACCAGCACTTCCGGAGTTGTCCTCCAGGGTGGTGGTCACCTGCGGTCAGCCAGATGGCCAGGAAGCGGCCATGGCTTCAGGCTACTGCAAAGCTGGGTCCAACTCGGTCCCAGACTCCACCCACATAGCCAGAGAGGGTGTAGTCCCAGATCCTCCCCATCACTGGAAGGAAAACAGGACTCCCCGGGCTTGATGAGCCCGGAGTGGAGGGAGGAGCTGGGTAGCAAACCAAAGTGAAGGCCTGTGTCTGGCCCGTCTGTGCGCGCCTCTGCACCCTCACCTTTCACGCTCTGCCAAGGCCTGCCATGGCCCAGCAGGGGTGTGTGGCCACCAGGATGTCTGACTCCCATGGGCTCCAGTCCAATGCTCTGGGAAAGGGACTTGCTTAGGAAGATAAATGGCATTTTCTCCCCCTCTTCTTTCTTGGTTTCTGAGCACCTAATTAGGTCCCTGGGCCCATCCACCCACCCAAAGTGGGGTAGGAGATGGCTGTATGGGCGGTGACAAGCAGAGGACAGATCGGGCCCCTTCCAAGACCTGCGCCAGGAACTCGCTGCTAGCAGTGCAAATGGGGTCCTGGGCACTGGTGAGGCCCAAGTCAGCCCCCTGCAGGGGCAGGGCTCCAGCTGGGGCCCCTGGGGCAGGCCCTGCTCCAGCTGCAGTCCCTCGGCCGCCCTTGGCCCTCATGCCAGGCACAGCTGGGAGGCCCCCTTACCTGGGCCAGCGGTGGTGGCATGTGGCCTGGCGTCTGCGGGGTGGGCCTGGGCAGAGATTCCAGCGGGCGCGGCTGGGGCTGTCTGCACCAGAGTGTCCCTTGGCCTGCCCTGTGCTCCTGCTTGCTGATGGCCAGGATGTTTGAGACCCGCAGGGCCTGGGGCTGTCGTCTCCACAATTTTACGTCTAGGCGTCTACAGACACATTTAACTCCGTAAAAGAAAGAACGAGTAGGATGCAGCGCGTGCGCCAGCAAGTGGAAAAACAGCCTCTAGCGGCAGGGGAGGGGGAGGAGGCGGTGGCGGGGCGGTGCGAGGGGAGGAAGTGGGGAAGCGGGTTCTGGTTCCCGGCTGCTGTCCAGGCCCACGGCTGGTGGCTGCTTCTGGGCGTCCTGTCTGGGCTTCACCCTGGGGTGCCGGGTACCACGGAAGGACCTCAGCAGAAGCCGGAGTGCCCTGGGGAGACTTGGCCTGGCCCTCCCTCTGCGCCCGTGTGTGTGGCCCATCGGCAGAGGCTGCTGAAGGAGCGGCCGGGCAGGCCAGGACGGGCCCTGCCTTCTTGGGCCCTTCTCCCTCTGAGCATCCTGCCGGCTGAACACCCTCCTTGAGGATCTGGCCCAGACTCAGCTCTCTTCCAGGGGTGCTTGGGTCTCTGGACAGATGATGAGGGAGGGCGAGCTGGGATTCTCTGAAGGGAAAGGGACTGTGTTGCTGTGCTTCTGTGTTTCCTTCAGATCCAGCCGTGTGCCAGCCAGTTCCTCCTTCCCTGAGAACCGCTTCCTCGTCCTCAGGAAGCAGGGTTGTGACCACTTCACTGAAGGCTCTGGCTCCCGGTCCGTCCAGTTGCCCTGGCTTTCGGCTCTCACTGAGCCCTTGAAGCCCACCCCCACAAGGGGACCCACCCTCCTCCCAAACACAGCCAGAGGCCGATGGCGGTGGTGACAGCTGCCCTGCCCAGACCAGGGGCCGGAGGTGGGTGGAGCTCCGGTTGGAAAGACTAGGCCCCTCCTCTCTGACTAGCAGCAGCTGGGTCTTTCTGTTCCTCTCCTACCCTGTGTGCCCCTGTGTGCTCTGGAGGGAGGAAGCGGGGAACCCTCAGGTTCAGCCATGAACCAGCATCAGCCACCATAAGGGTGAGGTAGATGCCCTTATCCCCAGATGGGAAACTGAGGCACAGAAAAGGAAGCACCTGTCCAGCAACATGGTCTGGATGTGGTAGAGTCACCACTGCCACCCTTAATCTAAGTGGTTTCCCCTTGGGGTGGTAGTCCTCACCCCAGGGTCCCTCCCCGGTGGTTCCTTGAGAAATGAGACTTCTCTAGCCCTGGGCATGGGCTGGTTTTCCCTGAGATCTGCCTGTGGTGGCCCAGGACTCCTCCACGGAACCTTTTGTACTCAGTGCTAAGTGAACAGAGCCCGCCGTGACCAGAGTCTGGCTTCCCCTCTGGGGCTGGCTCTCAGTGTGTTTCATCACGGCCCACCTGGGCCCTCTCAGCCTCACCCAGGAGTCTGACCAAGATCACGAGAGAGCTGATGGCCTCCCAGGCCCCAAGCCTAGGGGAGGAGAGATCTTCAAAAGTCACAGACAAGGTACCCAGGTGGTTGTGCCCACCTGTAATCCCAGCACTCTGGGAGGCTGAGGCAGGAGGACCTTCAATTCAAACCCAGCCTGAGCAATTTAGTGACTTAGGAAATCCCTGCCTCAAAATTTTAAAAAGTGCTGGGGTGTATAAAAGGCCTTGGATTCAGTCGCCAACAAATTGAGGAAAAAAAAAAAAAAGTGACAGGCAAGAGGGAATCCTGGGCACGCAAACCCGTGAGGCCTGAGAAGTGAGTCAGGGAGTGAGTCAGCCCCTGGGAGGGGAGACAGGTGTCCCGTGCTGCACCTCCAAGTCAGCTCTGACTGATACTGCCCAGGGCCACTGTCCCAGCCTCCAGCGGCCATCACAGCCCCGGGCTACGGCCGCCTGCTCCCAGCCTCCTTGCTCATGGGGCCTGCGGACATGGGGCTGCCGGTCTCTGCCAGCCCCCAGCCTGTGCTCTGTGTGGCTCGAGGGTCTACACTCTGCTGAGGTAGGTGGCCACCTCTCTGCGCGGGGCCCGGGGCCCTCCCCCCACCCAGCCGTTGCCCAGCAGTGGCTCCTCCTGGCCTAGGTGCAGGGGTGGCCTGCACTGGTGCCAGCTGGTGAGCAGCCTGTTCATGGTGCCTTGGTCCGTGATGCCGCGAAGCTTGTCCCTCTCCTCTCCAGTGCCGTCGGTCGGGCTGTGGGCCGTGGAGGCCGCTGTGGCAGTGGCCAGGGCCCCGTGGGCGTGGCCCAGCTCCAGGTCATGGCTCACCGCCTCGAAGAACTGCTGGATGCAGACCTTGGCGAAGGCCCTGGCGTGTTCCGTGCATGTGTCGTCGAAGAGCTTGCGCTCGATGTCGATGTAGTGGGACCAGTACTTGCTCTTGAGGAAAGCGGCCTGCGTGAAGCAGGGCCGCACCGACCGGACCACGAAGGCCAGCAGCGTGGTGAGCAGCACGAAGGACCAGCCCAGCGCCTGCAGGGATGGCAGTGTCAGCAGGCCTGGCCACCCCCTCCCAGCCTGCCCAGACCCCCACAGCACCCTCAGGCCTTTACACAGGACAGTGAAGCCTGGATGAGTGACTTTGCCGCTTGGCCTCCGTGTAAAACTGGCTCATATGGACCTACCTCGCTGGAAAGACGTCATTCCCCTGGCAAGAGACTTGGTACTTGGGACTGAAGTCCAGCACATGGGGTGAGGCTGCCTGGGTTTGAACCCTGTGCCCCCTCTTCCTGCTGGCCCGGGAGTTGAGCCTCTGGCTCCTGTGCCTCAGTTTCCTTGCCTATAGAGTGGGCCTATGACCCCTAAGGCTTCTTGTGAGCTGACAACTCAGCATCCTGCTGTCTAGTGGGAGGCATTCTCATGCCGTGCGTCCCTCCCGGAAACCGTCCTGCCTGCCCAGGCCGGAGTGGCCCTTCCTCTCCTGAGCTCGGCTCCTCTCCTCTGGTCCCCTGCACGCACAGTAGCAGGTGGGCACCTCCTCCGTTGGCACCGAGCTGGGTCCTGGGGACCCAGGCACAAACCCAACAGGCACCCAGACTGACGGGAAGCGCGGCGTGGGCGGCCCAGCTCTGCCCTGACCCTCGTGGGCTGTGCTTGGGTCAAGCTCCCAGTGCACAGAGGAGCACTTGGCAGATCGGCACCCAGCAGGAGAAAGACAAAGGCCTGTGGCAGGGGCCGGGTGGGACCTGCAGACACCTGGTCTGGGGGCTCCCCAGCGGCTCAGTGAGCCCGCCATGAGCACCCCGAGTGTCTCCTCGTGCCAGGAATCCGGTTCTCCGTGGAAATTTCTGGTTTTTAGATGAAACTAAAGTTGACTCCAGGGTTCAGTTGCTACAGGCAAAATGGAACTCACCTGCAGCCTGGGGTCTGGAGCCTTTCTGCTCACCATGGGGGTAGCTGCCCCGTGCCCAGGGCCTGGCAAGACTGGACAGGCACCCTTGGGAGAGGAGTGGGTCTGAAAGGACTGGGACATTCAGTGAGACATCCAGGCCCCTGGCTGGTGAAAGAGGCCTGACCAGGGAGGCCCCAGCCACGGCAGGGCTCAGTGTTCACCAGGGCGCTCGCCACGTCCCTCCTGCCCTCACAGGGCTGGCCCAGCCTTGCAGTCTCTGTCCAACATCACAGAGCCAGTGCCAGGGGTCCTCGGGTCGTATCCCAGCGGGGTGGCTCCCTCCCGGGGCACCTGGACCCCAGCTCCCGCTCCCAGCCGGCAGGTGCTGGCTGGGGTATTTGCCAGGGAAATGTACCCAAATGGCCTGGCCACCCTGACCTCGCTGGTGCTGGACCTGGAACAGGAAAAGGATGCAAATCCCCTGCTTCTCAGCTCGGCACCCTTGGGGTCTGTCAGGGACTTCAGGGGTGGTCCAGGCTCTACCTTGTGTGCCTGCCCCACTGCGCCGAGGGGAAGCCCAGGGGAGGCCTACCCAGGCGCCACGTGCGAAGTGACTTGGCCCTCACCTGGGAGATGCAGCGCAGGTAGCGCACGACCACGTCGCGGGCCAGCAGCCAGTCGCCGTCGTAGATCTCCGGGCAGGGCACCCGGGCCAGCAGGCGGGCGAGCTCAGGAGCGGGCAGGCCAGGTGCCTGGCTGCCATTGCCCAGTGCAGCCACTGGCACGGCGGTACAGAAGGCGCAGAGAAAGCACTTGCCATCCAACAGGGTGACGGCCACCCAGACCACGGGTGCGATGAGGGCGCGCTGCGCCATGGAGCAAAACATGTAGCGCAGGACGGCAGGGTCCTTGGCCCGGCGGCCCAGGGGCCGCTTCCACTCCTCGGCCAGCATGGACACGTTGTTGTTCATGACCAGGCCGAGCAGGAAGAGCACCAGCGGCGGTGCCAGCAGGATGCCCGCGCTGTAGACTGCGTTGTAGCCGGGCAGGCAGGGGCAGTTGAAGTCGAAGGCGGAATACATCTGGGCACTGGCCAGCGCCATGATGCCGCAGATGCCGTTCATAAAGGACTCCTGGTTGGACTGCAGGAACTGGAAGATCATCCGGAACTTGTCCATCGTGGCCGTGCGGCTGGCAGCCCAGTCTCCTCACGTCAGCTTCAGCCTGGGACGGCTCTAGGGGCCCACCCTGTCCTCGGGGCGCCCCCTGCATGCTCAGGGCAGTGCCCTGGTCACTGTCGCTTTGAGGCCCCTCCTAGTCAGGTGCGGCCGGAGAGGGTGCCACCTGGCCAATCCTTAGGGTGCAGCCAGCATGGCGCCCCTCCCTCGCCCTCCCTGGCCCTTCTCCCTCCCCAGAGGCCACGCCTGGTGGGGACCAGCTCTCCTGCTGTGGGAGGGAGGTGGGGAGAGGGCGGGCTGGGTGCAGGCAGGGAAGCTGGCTCTGCTGGGCTGGGGCTGGAGCACCCCCGGCTGCTGGTGTGAGCCGCTCTCCTCCAGCCTCTCCCACAGGTCTTTCTGGTGTGGGACCAGGGGCTCCTGCTTACGCTGGTGTGGTGTGGGGTCGGCGGCGGGGTGGTAGTTTTGGAGCAGGTGTCGTGGGTCACAGTGGGTGGTGGAGTGGAGGAGGAGGAGTTAACCTGGCCACAGCACGGCGTGAGACACCCTGGATCTGGGCTGTCCCACTTGGCTTTGACCGAGTGCATGGACCAGGAGCCACAGCCTATGAGAATCCAGTGCCTGTGTTTCCAGCCCGCTGTGTCTCTGGGTGTCCGCCTGTCTCTGGGATGAGGACGGCAAACTCCTTCCTGCCTCTCCATCTCCTGCCTCTACCTCCCCAGCAGGACACAAAGGGGCTTGGGCATGGGGATCTGGCCCTCTGATGCCCATGGCTCCCCTTCAGGGTAGGGCAGGGTAGGTCTGGCTCCAGCCGAGGACAGGACATGAAGGCAGGGCTGACAGAGCCCTGACGGGGTATCACTGTGGACCCTGTGTCTGCCCCCCAGTGTCTGGGCCCAGCCACGAGTTGGCTGGTGCTGTCTATGCATGCGGGTACAATCACGTCCATGGTCTTTGTGTCCGTGTCTCTGTGTGTGAGGTAAAAGAACTGGTGTTGGCCTAGCTGCTCCCAAGTGGAGCCTTGCACAAGGCCCTTCACGGCTTGTCCGACCTCACGCTCCTGCAGGGTGGGTCCCACTGCCCCATTCAGAGGTGGGGACAGGTTGCCTAGCTGTGAGCCCTGGCCTAGCCCTCTTGAGTGTAGGGTGGAAGAGGGGTCAGGGAATCGGCTTTTCTCCTTTTTGGCTTCTCTGCTGTTCTTCAAGTCCAGGAGGAAATGCTGTGTGTCACAGAGTACAGGCTGGGCTGAATTGTCCTCCCAGCTGGAAGGCTGGCCCTGGACACCTGCCACTTTTGGCTGGTGGTGCCTGAAAGGCCCTTGCAGGGCTCCCCGAGGGACACCCATGGGTGTCTGAGGATGAGGGAGACCCAGCAAAGAGGCAACATCCCCGGTGCTGGCTGCAGTGTTGGTGGGCCTGGCTGCTCCGGGGTCTGAGTTGCTGGGCAGGCATAGCCCCTGCCTGGTGTGTTGGGGGAGGGGGGGGCCGGCAGCTCAGGAACTGAGCCTGAGTCCCATATCCCTGTGTGGCAGTCTGCCCTCTGAGCGGCATTGAGCTGGTTGAAAGGTGCCTGCTGGGACCACAGGGAAAACCTGCAAACAACAAAACTTTTATTTATTTATTTATTTTTTGAGACAGGGTCTCACTATGTAGTTGAGACTGACCTGGAACTCACTATGTAGCCCAGGTTGGTCTCAAACTCACAAAGATCCTCCTGCCTCAGCCTCCCAGTGCTGGGGTTAAAGGCATGAACCACCATGCCCTGCTCTCAAAGCTTTTAATTTTTTAAAGACAGGTTCTCACTATGTAGTTCAGGCTGGCCTCAAATTTCCAGGATCCTCCCACCGGACTCCCAAGTGCTGGGATGACAGGTACGTGCCACCCTGCCTGGCCTCAACCTTACTTGGGTCCTTGATCTAACAGTCTTATTAGATTCTGGACTCATCATTCCCCTTACACCAGTGATTTTGATTGTGGATGTCACTGAAAGTGAAGGATGAGTGTTAGTCTATAAATATCATTTGAACTATTGGAAAGTTTTGAATGGTTGTGAAAAATAGTTTTAAATTTACCCCTTAGTTGAGGTAGTTTTGTGGGTGGGGAGTAATGTTTATCAGCCATTTGAAGTGATCATCATTAAAGAGACTTGAACAGGAAGTATCTGCTGTCATTTCCTGCAAAAGAGTTGACCCTGAAAAGTTGTGCTACTTCAGCAATCCCAAGTACTCAGGAGGCTGAGGCAGGAGGATTATAAATTAGAGGCCAGCTTGGGCAATTTAGAAATACTATTCTCAACATAGAAAAAAAAAAATTAAAGGGCTGGGGCTCAGTGTTCTGCCGCCTGCCTCACAAGTGCAAGGACCCGAGATTGATCCCCATACCAATAAATAAATAAATAAATAAATAAATAAATAAATAAATAAATAAGTAGGTTAGAATGTATCTTAGTAGTAGAGTGCCTCTGGGTTGGATTCCCAGTACCAAAAAAACAAAACAAAACAAACAAAAAAAAACAGAGAAAAGAAAAAAGAAAGAAAAATCAACCAAGCAAACAAAAACAGTTGTGCTCACCAAAGCAACTTCAAGTTTCTCATTTTGAGAAGATTAGGAGCTTTCGCTTGATTTTTGTTCTGTGGTGCTGGGGATCAAACACAGGGTCTTGCTAAATTGCCTGGGTGGGATTTGAATTTGAATCCTCCTGCCTCAGTCTCCCAAAGCGCTGGGATGGTAGGCAAACACCACCAAGCCTGACCAGTTGGAAGTTTTATACAAATTCAGTGTTTAATATTGTTCCTATTGCCTCATATTTCCTTTTTCTTCTAATTACATAGTATAAAGAAAATGTAATCATTGGGTTTGCTTCACTTTTCTCCAGGCCACAGCCCACGCGTGGAGAGGCTTGGGAAGCTCGGGCTGAGACACGAGTGGGCGGGAGAGTCCTGAGGTGGAGCTTGCAGGATGGGGCACAGTCCCTTCTGAAAGGACCTGCAGCCTGCGTGGTGTGCACACCTCCTGTCGTCCCGACACTCTGGAAAGCCGAGGCAGGAAGATGGAAAGTCCAGCTCAGGCAATTAGCGAGTTAGTGAGACCCTGACTCAAAATAAAGATGGGCCAGGGTTCAGGGTGAAGGCCCACGGTTCAATTTCTAGGACCTCAGAAACAAACATGCAAGCAAACAAAGGATCCAGAGGGCTCTCGTCCCCTCCTTTCACAATGGAGGCTGGAGGAAGCCGCACCCTGCAGCCACTTCCCCCAGAGCCAAGCAAGGTGCTGCTCAGGCCGCCCAGCCTGCGGGACTTTGTTTCTGCGCCCACGTGGGGCAGGAGACGCCCAGGCGCCAGCTCCTCCTGCCCTTGCACGTCTTGTCCTGTCTGCCCTAGGCATTGCCCAGGCCCTCTTTTTTTCCCCACCGAACAGTCAAGTTTTTCTCTGAAGAGCAACCTAAGTGGTGATGGGCTGAAGTCTTAACTGTGCCCCGTGCCCTGAGCCAGGGACACAACCTTTGTGTGCCTCAGCCTCCCCTCTGTGAACCGCGGATGGTCATGGAGCCGCCAGGTGACTGTGAGGAGGCTGGCGGGAGAGGGCTCATCGCGGTGCCAGGTGCAGTGAGCCCAGCACAGGCCCGGTGCTGTGATGGGGTCCGAGTGTGTCTGCAGGGGCTCCAGGTGGGCAGCAGCCGCGAGATCGACGCCGGCCCTCCTCTCCTGGGCCCTGCCTCCCTGCTGTCCCCAGGCCCCTGCCCTGCCTTCTGCTGCACTGCAGACCCCAAGGCTCGCTGCCCTTGCCTTCGGCCTGTCCTCTGGCAGACTGTCTTCCTTCCTGGGGTGCAGGGCTGAGGGCGAGGTCCTCACCAGTCCCCATGGGGCGAGCGCTGGTGCCAAGGGCCTGACAGTGGGACCTTCGGGAGAGTGGGCTTTCTCACTGTCCTGGGCCCCTCCCTCCGCCTCCTGGGCATCTTTGCTGTCACCGCTGTTCTCACACCCTTGTCTGGGGACTCGAGGCAGGGGCTGCTGTCAGCTGGGACCCTGGGGGCTCCCTCCTGTCGTGCTGTGAGTGACCACTGATGCCTGGCCCTTCCTGTCGCAGTGAGTTATTTTTACAGTCCCCGTCCAGCCTGATGAATGGAGCGTACAGTTTGAGCAGGACACCGGAGCCTGCTCTGCCTCCTAAACCCCTTTACTTGCCACTTGTCTCCACCCGCAACCCTCACCAATTCCTCAGTTCTTGCTTGCCTGGCCCCCAGTAGAAACATTCTCAGGCTGTAGCCAGTGTGGGATTTTAGGAGCAAACAACTGATTAAATTACTGCTTAATCGTAGTAATGACTGCAATCCACATTTGATCCTATGGCCTACATGACTCAGAGGTCCCCTCTAGGTTTATACTTCAGCTCCCCAAACAGGACCAACCCCACCCTACCTCAGGGCCTTTGCATATGCTTTATACATTCCTAGGATGATGCTTCTCCTATTCTTTATCTGAGAAATTCTTGCTCATCCTTAAGATCTCAGGTAAATTATCTCATAGCACTCAGAGCCCTTTAATGCACAGGTCCCACTCTTAATTATCCTGGATGGGTGTTTTTGTGATATCTGGCATTCCCAAAGAACTACAAAGGCAAAAGGTCCACATCTTTATTAGTTAGGCTTCACTTAAGAAACAGACTTCATATGATACAGAAAGCATTTACAAGGTAGCTTTGCAATGGCTGCTTACCGTGTCAGGTGTGAAAGAAAGCAGAAGGGCCATCTGCACACTGGAAAGCTGGAGGATCCAAAAGTCAAAGGCCTGGAGCTCACCAGAGTCCTGCGAGTCCATGTCAGGAAGCTGAGGGGTTGTGCTGTGGAAGCCTGGAGACCGACGCCCAAAGGGGATGGTGAAGACCAGCTCCTCTGGAGAAGCAGAATGGAGACTTCCTGCTTTCCCTCTTCATTCCATCCAGGCTGCAAACCCATTGGTTGGAGCCACCCAGCCAGGGTGGGACTTCCTGCTTCCATAAGTCAATCAACCAGACCTACAGGAACTGTACTGGAACCATCGGCTGAGTGTTTCTTACCTGCGTTGACACCACAATTGACAACACCTGCTCTGTCACATCTCCTGACTTCCACAACAGCTTGCCTAGTGTGTGAGGCCTGGGCATGGGCCCTGCATTGTGCACATGAGGTAGGAGGCACTGGCTTTGCAGACCAGTTACAGCCCCAGCCC